AGGCGAGCGATGAAAGACAACACGCCAATACACGTGTAGACTGAAGGAGGTTCAAGATTACCTGCAGGCTGAACAACCGAAAACGCCCAGTCCGTCAGATTAGTCAAAAGCCCAAGCGCCTGCATATCACGCCGAAGCACCAGTCGTGCCAAAACAATTGTAGCGGCTTCCCGCTCTTTACCTGAGACGTTAACATAATTCAAGGCCACAGAAAGTAGAGACTTTGCAACCATTGGTGTGTGGTTCGGCATCTGTTTCAAAGTCCCAAGGTTGTCATACGGAACCGGGATATCATCCGACGACATCGAAGCCAGGTCGAAGGGAGCAAGTAACAAATGCGACAGCCAAATCAGCATCACATATCGTTCCTCCCAGACCAGTCGCAGGGGAATGTCTCCAAGGCCTAGCTCAGGCTCATCTTTGATGGCATCCCATTCAACGAAAGCGCGGAGCAGCGGATCAAGATACTTGGGCTCATTGTTCAAGAACCTGCTGATAACTTTGACTCCACGGACTTTGCAAAAGGTATAAAGTAGCCTGCAGATCGCTCTTGGAAGAGGATACGCTGTCTTCTGACCTTGCAATCCTGCGGGTTTGGACGCGTATTGATCGCGATGCTTCAGCAAATATGCCAGAAAGGCATCAACTAAAGGGGGTAGAAGGGCCTGCAGGTGGGGGTCCAACAGCTGCGGCCACTCCTGAAACGGCTCCAACTACAAAGTGGTCAGCTATCACTACAAGAAAAATTCGTAGACTAGACATGAGATCAGGCACGGCGTGGGCAGCTTGCTTACCAGGCCGACGAGTCTTTCTGTTTTTGCGGCGGGGGTCCATCTCCGTGGAATGCGGGTGTTTGGCTGGTCGGGTCGAGTCTTCCAAAGGAGGGATGGCAGTTTCTCGGAAAACTCTTGGACGAGGTCTCCAGAAGCACGCTGGAGCTTAACCTCCCTATCCTCGGCCGCATCCATGATGGAGTGCCACTAAGTATACTGAAGCGTTGAAAGCATCGAATCAGGAAGATTGAAGTCGCCGCGGGGATTCCATCTGCTGGTCGAGTGCTTAGTCATCATTATACAGATCGATTCCAACTGCATGAATATCCTTCTTCAACATGTTTCTAAGTACCTATTCGTACAGAATTAATTACTCCACTAGGTATTCTAGACGCTATTCTGACATTGCTACTGGTTTAGATTATCGATCCCGTTAAGGGTGTCGCCTGCCAGTATTAGTAGTATTATATATTTCTCTCCGTCGGCCTTACCTGTTTGGCTACTATAGAGATTCAAAGGTACTAGCTCATGCCCCAATGTTGATCAAGCCCCAAGACTTATACACTTACTAGATAAATGTAGATAAATAACGAGTTATACGGAGTCTCCATCTAAAAAGTCTTTAAATCCATGTATGTAGAGGAAACCCCTGTTGACGATATTCACGATCCACACAAAACAGCATGGAATTGCATGAATCGCATTTTATAGCGCTATCACCAGCTGTATAGATTCACTATATTGTGGATGATGCCTAGTCGTGGGAATGTAACGACTCAGAGTTACGATGAAGAGTAAATTTGGCTCAGTGACGATGCGATTGCAGTGAAGTCTCCAAGAGACCCGGTCTATATAAAGGCCTCAACCACCCTGCCTCTCCAACTTTCCAATGTAATCTGACAGGATCTTTACTACATTATTTTAAAGTTTGATAATACTCTTCACATCTAAACGCTCACTGTCACTAGATGAGATATGAAGACATTTCAGAGATAAACCCTTTATCGGAAGAACGTGATAGCATCTTCATGAAGTCGAAGATACGAAGGTGTCCATACCCGATGACAAGGATATTGATCTACAAAGTATCATTAGGGTAAACTGGCTCATGGGCCGAGTACATTTTGATTATGGTATGTCAGTTATTTGACCGAACTAGAAAACCTTCCTGACCTTAACTTACAAAAGACCGACATCAAATGCTCTAGAATCGGTCCTCTGGACCATTCCGTACTGCGTACGGGATCCTCGCTCTGCATAATGAGAGCTTGAGACATAATAGCCTTCGTTCTGTCCTTCGCTCCAGCTAATACCCTCTAAATGGTCGTGCTTGGCCCTTCTTGCCTCGTTTGATCAAAGAGCCACCACGCGACTGCGGCATGTTCGAGCAGCGCTTACAGCATGGTTCACCATATGGAACAACAATCAGTTGATATAACTAGCGAGACATGGGACTTGATAGCTCATTGGCGCAGTGTCTCCATTGGAAAACTCTTCTCTATTGAACAGAACTCGAAGCCTTTTCCCCCAGTTCAGGGCTTTCTAAGCAAGGAAAATAGAGTGGAAATGGCTGTTCAATGGTTGTGAACCCCCGTGAGCCACATCAACAGACAGTACAATGAGAGGGATATGAGGAGTATAGGCGTACTCGGTCTACCATTCCAACTTTACGTGGGTTTGTAACCTGGGCCCGGACTGCACCGTGTGAATAAGCCAGAAGAAGACGTGTTACCGAGTGAACACGTCCACGTACATATTTACACCAAGCACACAATAATTGATGAAACAAAACACTAACAACAACAGCAGATGGCATTTGGGTAGCATCCTGAAGTGGTTCCAGAAATGCTGGGCCAGGGCTACCCGGCGCCACACAAGTGTGGCTTTCTGAATACAACGGAGAACCTTTGTTCCCAAGGCCACGCATTAGTTGTTTGCGTCGAAAACACCAAACTCCAAGTCTCTGCTCCGTAGGTCGGGGTTGAGAGAGATAAACACGAGACTACTGGGGCTGGGTCCCTCTGTGACTCGGAGGGCGAGGCATAAGCTACAAGTTACTGGGAACACCGGCTCAGCCAACAGCTAATCTGATAGATATCCCCAAGCCGTGGCATATTGGTCACCTGGGGCACAACAACATCAAAACCAATTAAGTTCTGGGATATCGCAAAGAAACACCACAGGCAGCGACATGTAGTCGCCACAAGTACTCCAACGCCGTGTATTGGGCGGGAATAATATCGACTGTCCTTGTGAGTGAGATGCGATGTTAGGAAGACATGAGCGATGCAAGACAACTGATGTTACTTGATATTGCTATATAGGGTTATAGAGTCCTCCTCTTCTTCGACCGCAATAACGAGCAAAAAGCGCAAAGCACAACATTAAATGCTGGTCGCCTCTTTTTTCATCCGACCTTGGGTAATACAAACATTTTGACAGTAATGAATCCGCTCACGCTCGAGAGCACCCCATGAAAAGCATCAAGAAGGTTGTTCATATAAGCATCTGCTGGATAGTCACGATGGCGAAGGGGTCTCGCCCCCCAAAGCGATACATGCCCGTGAGCATCAAGATCAACTTCTGTATGCATTGTCTTCGCCACGCGATCAACAACTACAAACCTGCCCGAGGAGTTCCTTTGGATATCGGGTGCCAAATGGATGCGCGTGCACCTTTCTATGTAACTTCTGTTCCGAGGATAATAAGCTATGCGAACCAGTGGGTTTCGCGCGCTCCCCTCTACTTAGTGTACTGATCGAGATGTCGAAGGCTCAGCAACAAGGAGGACTTTCCTGGCTACAATCAAAATTCCCCGGTCTTCTTGCTTCAATCGACCTTCCTCAAGCAAATCCTGGACACTGATTACTTGAATAAAAGGTCGACTGCCTCGGCTGATGGTTTTCAGTTCCATGCCACGAGACGAAGAACATCCGCCCTGAGCGCAATGTTCCCATCCGGGCACGATACAAGTTCTGTATGCACTATCTTCGACATGTCAATACCAACTATGACTGCTGAAGCTGCTCTGTATAAAACTGGATACTATATTGATGACAAGGCTTCCGTGCTATGTCACTCCTCTTATGGCGGCAAGAAGACCTGCGAACCAGTACGTTTCGCATGCTCCCTGGCTGCCTATTGTTGACTGACACCATGGAGACTTGCTGGATAAACGCCCACATCTAGTGAAGATCGTCGAATAATGGCCCGCATTGGTCTTGAATAATGAGAATTGGAACGACAACATAAATTTATTGATCCGGGCAGATTCATACAATCTAGCGATTGCTTTTGGCAATGCTGAGGGCACGCACGCCCATGAACACTTAGGAAGGAAATGTGGTAATAAAGCACGAAGATCCGGCACCATGTTCTCGATCTTCCTCATTCTACGGGTTTTATCGACTTGAAACAAATAGCACCAGACAGAGGCCCAAGACCAAACATATTTTCTGACTTGATATCAGAGTTAACCACACAGCCATGAACTGGCTGGTTGGCTGGTTTCCGGGCCACGATAAGGTCATAATAACGAACGAATAGCGCAAAATGCGAAAGGAAATACTCACTTTCTTATTCCTCGCTTAAATAAATCACAGCAGACATCAAGGACGGTCATGACGAACCCACTATGATCTAGCCGCCTCGCTGCGTGGCTGCGTGGCTGATGATTCCCACGACAGGATATACTTATCTCCACGGGACTAAGCACCAAGCGACAACAATGAAAGATTTGCCTCTACAATTACAGAGTATTACTGGCGCCTTGATCAGGAACTGGCGGATTTTACAGAGACCATATCAATCCCTGCCTGATCTCGATATCGAAGAAATGGGGGTTTGCTGCGAGTTGATCAGCGGTTCTTACACCACAACTGAATGCACCAATTTTATCTAGTTGGCAAAAGCGCCAAGTCCCAGTGAAAAAGCATCGACTAAAATCCACCATCTCTGCTCACCACATAAGAATGCATAACCAACAAGGACGAGATGATATGTTAGTACTGTCTTGACGAAATACTGGCTAGCCGAATGGTTTTTTGGTGGTCGGTGGTGGCCACCACTTAATCCTTCTAACGCCGACACTGTGTTCAGCCTGACACATACTCCACGTCTCAGGTTCTTTGTTACCACACCTAATATCAATTCAAAGGTGCCATCAGCGAGGAAGCGTCCCTACGCTAAATGAAAACCTAACTACGGTCTTGTCGAACGGCCGCCTGTTGCAACTAATAGAGGACGTTTGATCCCCACTTTCTTGGAAAAGATTCGCGAGAAGGAAGTGGTTGTTGGTGAGGACGAGGTTAAATCTTTCTACCGCAAGCTGATCAAACCTCCCGAGACCAGGCTGGGACAAGATGCGCATCAACTGGCCGGCATGTTGAAAGGGTCGCCCAAGATGAGATCCATATTTGGAATACTGCGTGACCAAGTTCTTCTTTGTAATAAGAAGGCACTCGTGTGGACCTGGTTTCCAGGCCAAGACGTGTATACGACCTGAAAGTAGCGGGTTTTGATTGCATGATGCTCCACTCCGATCTTGATCACAGCGAACATCATAAGCCCGTGAACAACCTTAATGAGCACTGAGATAAGGACACGATTCTCATCATGTCCAATATAATAGATTCTACAGGGTTGAGTATGCAGCAATCTTACAGAAATATCCATCTCTTCAGCGTGGCTCTTGCCAGGGCCATTGTTGAACAGGCAATCGGTAGGGTATCCAAACTTGACCAAACAAATATTCCTCAAGTGTTCGACCATAGGGTCCCGGAGTCCTTTCAAATTATTCTCACCAACCGCGCCGCCGAGAAGGCGCTGCCCGGCATAATGACTGATATGTCATCATCGCTCTCTTATATACTACATCTTGAAGATGAGTTTGTGGTTGCTACTTCATGGGCTATCCGAGATGGGCCGGCTGGTATGGTTATCTGGCAGAGTCCTCGATGGTCTCTCAAGCATCACACTGTCATTGATGATCTGGATGATGTTACAGTCCTTGATACTGTGGAGATATGGACATTTCCTTGGAGTCCACCTGGAGACAGATGCTATTTGATGATTACTGTGGTATCTGGTAAAATAGCCAAGATGACTACAAAATCTGAACAGCTTTATTTCATGAGCTGCTGTTAGCAATGAGGTCGGACGATAGCCCGGTATTACTGGCTGGCAGATACGTCCCACGCTATTCTGGCAGTCAAGGGTGGTAAAATCGACTTGAACTTTCTGTCTGTCTATGGGTTACATGTGCATAGAACTGGGGTGGGTGGGATGTGGCGGAGTTGATAATCATAACTATGACCCCAACGAGGGAAATTGCATTTGATATCAGATGCCATATGGAAGCACACGCACGTCGATCCATTGTTCGCTCATGTTCCCACACCAGCTTCGTCTTATCGACCAAAACCACACCTGTCTAGGCCACGACATCGATTATCGAATGGGGCCGCTGATGTCCTCGAACAGGACCATTGTGACGCTGATACTAAAGAAAAGTGGTGCATAAGATCCTGAGCATGTCTCAGGCGTTGAACAATGCCGAGTGGGGGGTCGCACGCGATTAAGAGTATTGCATGAACGGCGCCTCAAGAATCACCAAGCGAGTGAGTTATGCTTGCAATATAACGCGAATTGCGAGATACTCTGGCGATTCGTCGGGGAAATATTCCATAGGATTCCAACATGGAATATACGAGAAGAGAAGTTTATTGCAGCTGGCTCGTTGATACCTTCTTTCTTTCGTAGTATTTGGGTTTAGGAGCTTGTGAGAGGGAGAGGTTCAGGGCGTGAGGAGGATTATCATACAATGGTGCGTATGATATGATATGAAGATGTATGCATGGGGTATGTGCACCAGGTACTATATTTCGGAACATTAATACTATGGTAACATAATACGAACCAGGCAATAAACTTAGATTGAATTATCCACCCTACATCGTCATCGGAATTACCATCTCCTCCGTAAACATCCAACTCCACTTAATGTTAGGAATTAGAGGGGGCAGATAAATATTACAAAAGCAGGTTCAACTTCGACCTACATTTGTAGATACAAACTCATGGGACTGGTAAGTGTGCATCTATATCAATTCATCTGAACATCTCAAGACAAGCAAGTAGCTGATCTAACTAAAATGTACTGCAAGTTAAATCGCTAACCATGCAACTCCAAACCCATAACAAACAAAACCACCTCAAACCAACGAACACCTCAACGATCAACATCAAAAGCCGAAGGACTACGCATCCGACCAGGCCGATAACTCCCCCTTCCTTGATGCGCCAACGTCAACATAGTCCGACGAACATGCATCACCGTAATAGCAATAGCCAAGGAATTCCACACATCCTGACCGCGTTCCGACAAGTCAAACTGAGAGATGAACCGACCGTCTTCTTGGCCGTTGCCTATCTCTCGAGGATCAGTGCTATGGGTCAAGATGGCGACGATGGGACCGCAGATAATGAACCCGGTGAGAAGGGGGAATTTGGTAGCCTCAAGTATTTTCGCCATCTCTTTCTCTGTATAGGTGTTGTTTGCCACGCCAAGGTCTTCCTGGTGCTGCCGGGTAAGCTTCTGGAGCCTTGTGTTCATCTTCCGGACGGCCGTAATGGTTTTTTCGTGTTTCTTTTGAGCGTATATCACATGGACTGGTAGTGCATCTCTCATGGTGTGTAGGTTGACGTCAAAGAGAGCCCAGGAGATGTATTTCTGGATCGCTTGTTTGATCAAGGGTTCGGGCTGCTGGTGTAAAATGTCGCAATCGCGGACACGGCCTCCGACGGCAAATAGACTTGTTAAGGCTTTGATAGCTGGATATATATTAGTATCTCTCTTGTAACGCAGTAAGTGAAAACTCACCATAGAGGTTAGAGCTTCGAGTGACGTCAATAATTGGCTTATCAGTCTCCTCGGAGCTCCTAGGATACAAAGATTCAGGCAGTGTCGGAAAGTCATATCGCCAGCTTCTGGGGACAACCGGCTCGAATCCGCGCATGGCAAGGCGAAAGAACAAATCTTTCTCTTCCTCGTTAAAAAGACCCTTTGGTACATTGATTGCGCTAGCCCAGCGCTTGGCTCTTTCCACCGAAAAGTCAAAGACAATACCCGTCTTCTCAGTATGATGAATAGGACGGTCCTGATACTCTTCGTTATCATCCTCGGTAAAGTCGGCTGGGTTTGCATTCTCGGTCTCGATGGACTTTATCGGAGTTGCCTCCGGTTCGGGATACACAGATTCACCTGGGACGTACTCCTCATGTTCTGTTTTCGGAGCCTTCTTCGGGACAGGGCGAGCACGAGGAAGCGCAGACGAAGTGATTGCAGCTTTAGTTATAGTCTTCTTTCGAAGAGTATCCGGCGTCGGATATGGGATCGCACCTAGATCCGTCGTTGCATGATCCTTCTGTGAGAACCCAGTCACCCCATGTTGATACACAGGATCGGTTTGAGCAGACGGCGTCACAGGAACCTCTGCCTTCACCGGCTTCTCGGGAGTCAGACGACCAGCATCAACAGATGATGCTAATGCAGGATGTGGCATCAACCTCCTTTTCTTGAAAGCCCTGACCGTCGCTTCTTCGCCCTGGCTGCTATCACCACCATCATCTTTCCCAGACAAGTATGTAGCATCCACATCCGGTTTCCTCTTCCTATTCTTCTGAGCAACCCTGTCGATGAGCTCACTAGGATCAATTTCATTTGCGTCTGGGGTGAAGACATCATCTTCCTCCTCATCTTTCCTCGGAATGTATGTAACATCTATATCCCTCTTCTTTTTTCTAGCTCTTCTAGCCTCTTCAATCTTCAGTTCACTCGGATCAACCTCATCCGCATCCGAAACAAACCCCTCATCATCCTCTTCGACCTTGATATTCTCTTCAATGTAATCCGGATCCTGCGTCGGCAGCGGCCCGCTCCTCCTCAGAGAGCCCCCTGAAGATATAGATCGCGCGCGAATAGTCATCTGTGCGTTATTTCCCGGAGAATGAAACAAAGAGTGAAGACTCTTGCTGATGCTGTTACGTCGTTTCGTCGCTCCTTGTACGACGGTGGATATACTTGGGACAAAGCGATCACGATGCAAAGGCGGAGTTGGCAAGGGCGGCGGTATATATGGCGAACAGAATGAAAAGGATGAACCAGTCGATAAGAGACTCTGAATATCGGACGAATCAAGCTCTGTAAGGTTCGGGTCGGTGTCGGTGTCGGGGGTTAATGGTGTTGGTTCGGAGGCATTTTGAGGCGGAGGTGAGGAGAGTAGCTCGAAGAGGAGTTGAGAAGAGGACATGAGGTCTTTGTCCAGTAGCATCAATGATTCTGTAAGTAGGGGCTCCTTGGATCACGCTTTGTTGAGCTGTGGATGAAGTGTTGGACGTTGGACAAAGAGGGACAGAACAAACAGAGGAGGGGATCTGTTTGGGAGACCGAGACAACATACTGGTCTGGGGCAACAATGGACTAAGCTCCAAACCTTGGAGAAGTAACACTGCAGTCACTGGGTGAGACAAAGGATAAATCTAGTGTCTTCCCTCCGCACCTTGATTGTGGTGCTTAAGTGGACAAAGAAATCCGAAGAATCGGCTCTATAGAGCATCTACATTATATGCTATTCCAGATGCATTCTTTCACTCGTCAGTTCCGCGTCTTCCATTCAGTCATACAGCATTAAACAGTGAGTCGAGAGAAACGCTGAAGCAGAATTACATTCCAGGAACGGGAACTCGCCCGCAAAAGAACAGGAATTAAAAACAGCCTAAGATGCTGAAGACATATAAAGAAAAAATACTCCCCATCAACCCCTCATTCCACATTCACAAATGCCATCATAGCGCTTACACCAGCTCTCAAAACTCTTATGGGTATGTGGGAATCCTTTCAGCGCAAATATGCCGAGCAGCCGGCATCAAGAATTCCGAGAATCAGACTCGTGCCAATGTTGACATTAGATAACGAGCAAACAACAGAAAGTCCGGACAACATTCAAGACGGCGCGATTACGCAAAGTCCGCGGTGTACGAGAAGCCGCGGAACTCTTCCTGCATTGCCTGGGAAAGGACTGGATACAGTGTTAGCGGGGAGACTAGCAGACACAAAATCTATCAGAATCTTACCTGATTGTACGGGTGTCAGGACAGGAGTGACGCTGGTGAACTCCTGGTCGAAGTTGCTAGTATCGGTAGGGCTGCTGATTTGAGGCATGAACGGCGGGGGCACCCGCTTGTGGTAGATGTCATCCCAGTTAATGTTCCTAAAGAAGGCATGGGACATGACTTCTTGGGCGTCGGTAGGTCCGGAGCCAAGACGCAGTTCCGGCTCGCGGGTGAGGAGCTTCTGGAGAATCGAGACCGAGTCGCGAGGCATGTGGATGGGGTATAGCGGCTCGTCGGCAAGAATAGCATCGTAGATTTCGTCCTCATCTTCACCACGGAATGGAGACTGTTGAAGAAGCATCTGGTAGATAAGGACACCGAATGCCCACCAATCAACAGCACGGCCGTATCTCTTATCCAGGAGAATCTTTTGAAAGCATTAGTACCGACTAGACACGGATCACAAGCATTGTACTCACCTCGGGCGCCATGAACTCCGGAGTACCACAGAACGTGCTCGTGGTTGCACCATACCACATGTTCTCCTTGCAAAGACCGTAATCAGCAACCTTGATGTGACCGTCCAGGGTCAACATGATATTATCGAGCTTCAAATCACGGTAAATGACACCGTTCTCGTGGAAATACTTGAGTGCCAGCAGGACCTCCGCAGCGTAGAACCTAGAATAATCAGCAACTTTCACTTCCGCCCACCGTGCCCGTGTATAACTTACTGTGCTCGCTTGAGACCAAACTGGCCGCGCTGAATGTGCAACATCAGATCACCACCGCTAATGTATTCCATGACGAAGTAAACACGAGTCTCCGTCTGGAAACAGGCGTGCAGGTTCAGCAAGAAGGGGTGACGCTCCTTGTTCGCGATCATGAAGACTCGCTTCTCGGACTTCGTGCTTTCCACTTCGTCATTCTCGATGATGAACTCCTTCTTCAACACCTTGATGGCGTACAGCCTCTTGGTGCTCTTCGTCTCTGCCAGCATGACCTTTCCGAAGTTACCCTTACCCAGGACCGCCAGGAAATTGAAGTGGTCCAATCCAATCCGGACCTTGGGCTGCTGAGGAGCCTCAGGAGGCTGCTGTGGAACCATCTGCATAGCCGGCTGCTGTGCAGGCATGCCATACGCGGCAGGAGCTGCATGCTGCATCGCTTGAGGCGGCATGCCTTGCGGGGCATTGGCGTACGGCTCGTACGCCTTGGGGTCATAGGTAGGCAGCTGAGGCTGCATCGGGCGACTCTGCTCCACTGTACATTTCGAGTCAGTATCTAAGCAAGGGTTCGAGAACTGAAGACGTGAACGAACCTGGCATTTGCTGGGGAGAGGGCATTCCCGTCGCGACAGTAGCAGCAGCCACAGCCGCACTCGACGACGTTCTCGGGGGCATCTGCTGCCTTGCAGCGGCTGTCGGGGACTGAGGAGGCATGTACGAGTTGGTCGCTGCGCTCACAGCTTCAGCGGAAGGCTGCCGCTGAGGTGCTCCGTATGGGCTCTCGACGGGCTTCTGTGGGTAGGCCATAGCCGCATTGTCCTGAGGGCCCTGGGGTGTGCTGCTGGGCCGCAGGGTGCGGCCACTAAGACCGGAACTCACAGAGGCGGTCTTGTTATGGTTCTTGGTGCGGATCAGGGTCTCCAGGATTTGGTTGGCTGCCTCCATAGACATACCACAGAAGTCAGGCACCAGATGTGTACAATGCGAGTGACAAGTAAGACCACACTCTGCGAAAAGTTAGCATATTCCGTCATTGCAAACCCCTTGAATATTATAATGGAAGACCGCATACCTGTACATCGCTTGGCGTTCTTCCGTCCAAAGGGAAGCAGATAACCACAGTGACAGCACCAGTTGGCGGAGATGTTGGAGAAGCCCTCGAAGCGATGGGGAATGCGGTGGTTGATCTTTTCTTCGTCGGGATCGGTCTCGTAGTTGGCTTTGCTGATACACTTGGTGACAACCTTCGGGTAGCACTTCTTGTGGCAAGTGTATTTGCAGTCGGCGCACTGCATACCGGCAGCGTACTTGAGGAAGTCGCCGCAGAGGGCGCAACGCATGATGTTGTAGAACTGCTGGGTGACGAACTTGTGGCCCTGCTTCTCGTGAACCTCCTCCTTCTTCTGACGAACTGCACCCTGACGGTTGAGACCGATGTCGAATGGCCGGCGGTCCTTCAATTGCTTGGCTACAAAATGGGTCAGTGCAATCGGGGTGCAGCTTTCGAACAAACCTACCGAAACTCATTGACAGGTAGATACGACCAACTGGCTCCAGCGCGAACCACGAATCGATCATGACCTGGTTCCCGCCAGGCGCTCCGGCGCTTCCATCTCCGTAGCCTTGACTCGGCGCCGCACCAGGGCCCCCGGGCCCTGATGGGTGAGCAGAGCCTGGTCCCCCAGCGGTGTCCGGTCGTCCCGGCGCACCTCCATGCTCCATCTTATCCGCAGACACCCAACCCGATGCATTGAACTCAGACTCGATCTTCTTACGACGCATCTCTTCCGCGATGTCGGAAATGCGCACCCAAAGCATACCAATCGGCGTAGGTCGGTCACCGGACTTATCGTAGACTGTGAGCTCAATCTCGTTCGCCTTGTCGATATCGATGTTGAACGTTTCGTCCTGCCACCTGTCGATGCGTGTCGCTTTTGTCCGAGCCTTGATGGTATCCTCCACTTTCAGCACAATGAACGTCTCGGGACCTCTGGAGAACCTCGAGCTGGCGGCATGGTCGACGTCCTTCACGGCGTGGATGCGGAGGGTTAGCAAACCAGTCAGTGGCTTGCGCAGATTGGGGGTGCTTAAACTCTCATCTATGGAGGTGATATTAGCACGCTAGAAAACATGGCACGACGGAAATATAAGGGGAAGCCTCAATGGCATGATTACATACCATCGGGAGTATCCGTCGATTCGATGTCGACATGGAGATCTTCATATCGCTTAAGGGCCTGCTTCAGCAACTGAATCTTCTGATTACTCTCAATCCGCCGGCCTTCGGCGTCTGCACGGCTCTTCCGATCACCCTCATCCTGATATAAGCGAACCATCTTCTCAATACCCGCCTTGTACTGCTTCTCCACACTCAACTTGAATTCGAGCTGCGACAGCATGAGCTGGATCTTGGGTCCGAGATATTGAGTGTCATATTTGATCAGGTCTAGCCAACGACGACGTCAGTCCGAGAGGAGCTAATGCAATAGACAGCGACCTGAGCTCCAGCTGCTGCAGAACAGTACATACCAAGCTTTGTGTAATTGGGCCGGGCCTTGGGCACGGGAGCGAAGGGTCGCGGGTCTGCATACGGGGCCCCTGACGGCATAGAACCAGCACCACCGTGCGGGTGGGCTCCGGAAGCATCGCCATATTCCTCGTTACCCCCATAACCCGGAGCATAATCCTTCTGAGGAGGGACGGGACCAGCCTCAGGATTAGGCGGGAGACGCTTATCGGTGGGGGAACCACCACCCTCGTGCTCCATGCGACGGAGCTGCAGCTCCCGCATCTTCTCCTCCAAGTAGGCGATGTTCTTCCGGCCATCACGGATGTTCGCATCGACTCGCTGTTGCACTAGAGGATTATCGGTCGACTGTCGCATATTCGAGGCGGCGGTGATGAGGGCCTTTTCCCGCTCGATCTTGCGGTGGACCGAGGCGATGAGATCGTCCCCGTCCATGGTGTGAGATGTGGTCCGCGGACAATGGGAGAATCGAGGGGAATGGAACGGGATCGACGCAATGCGACCGGGGGGTTGCGGGTTGGGAGAAGGTGGGGTGTGGCCCTTTATGAATACGGGGGGAGAAGAAGGAAAAGACGGGAAGGAGGAAGAAGAAAGAAAGCAGAGGAAGTAACTAGATAAGTTACAAGGGGGAGAAGGGTGGGGAGAGAGAGAAAGAGAGAGAGTAAGGGAAGGGGGAGGGGAGGGGAGGGGGGGAAGAGGGATGAAGATGGGAAATGGCCGACGATCGGGGGAAGGAAGTTTGTTGTGGTGGTGAGGTTACGGAGAAGAAGGCAGAAAGAAGAAAAGCAACGGCAACAGCAGCAGCAGCAGCAGCAACAACAACAACAACAACAATAATAGTAGGTGTCGCGGGGCTCTTGTTGACAGTTGCAGGGAGGGGGGGAAGTCCGATCGATCGCGACGACGGGATGTCAGGTCAAGTCAGCTTTCTCCAAGGCAAGCAAGGCAAGGCAAGAAAGTCCAGGGTTTAAGCCACTCGGAAAACGTGAGACAAAGTTGGGCCCGTGGCGATGAACTTGACGGCTCAGAGTTCCTAAATTCCACCTGTGGCTGAGGCCGTGTGGAAATGTGGGAAAAAAAAGATAAACGGGTGTGAACTTCCAGTACCAGGTTAAGTATAGGGTTTCACTACAAAGATAAAAAGAGAAGGAAAATAGAAAGGTAGTAAGTAGTAATAGTAAAAGTTAGGAAGAGAAAAAGAATAAACTCTGCTTAGTTCTTCATGTTATTATATTTTCCTATTCAATCCATTCTGGTTCCTTACCGCCCGCAATAGTCACTCACTCTCACTCACTTACTCCGGAGTACATTCACAGTTCTTTCTCCTTCGGGCAAGCAGTCGCGGGTTCGGAATGCAATGGACTGACTGACTTAGTAACGGGATCAGGCAAAAAGTCAATCCGCACTGCTTTTCCTTTCCCCATAATTGATGGACTGATCTCTGGATCGATCATCGGGGCAACGACACGGCCGGGAAGAATGATGCAATCAAATCTATTCTCCCTCTTCAACTAACTAGATAACTGTATCTGACTGACTGACTGGACTGGGGCTTGTTCCGCACAGGGTCTCTGGTCCATCCATGGATGATCTGTTTCATCTTGCACGCACGGAGAATATTTGCCCAGAGGAACAACCAAAACAGCCCCCAACATCAGTAAATCTTCAGCCCAGGCACGTAATTCGGGCCCAATCACCCGAGATTTCCTCACCGGAGATGCGAGATAAACTACCGTTAAACTATAACGTCGTGTTCCCTGTCTTTCGGTCCTCTCTCCTACCATCATTCTGCCGTGGTGTTGATGGAATTGGCTCGATTCTCCTTCCTCTTGTGCCGGCCTTCGGGTGTCCACTTCTTGACCGTTTCCTCTCACCCTGGGTCTGCCGATAATACTAAAAGAAATTTTTGTGAACTAAAAAAAAGGCAAAAAGGCACTAAATAGTCTGTTTCCATGGCTGCTGCTGGGATCCTACCCCCATCAAAAGTATTGACTCCCACTTGGCATCCGAGATCTATGATCCCCTTAAAACCCACAGCCACAGTCCCCGTGAATGACGTCTACAAAAGGGTCGAGGTCCACCCTCCCCTCCCCTCCTCCTGTCGCCTGGATGAGGGGTTTGCTGGGGCGGTTCTAGTGCCCCTTGCTTTTCAACCCACTCCCATGTCTGCACCACGCTGCTTGCAGGTCATGTGCCGTCGGATCATCCGTCCATGGCTGCCTTACTAGCCTGGAGTCCTGCGATTGAGGAGACATATGCACCTAGAGAGACACCTGAAGAACCCGCGAAAAAGAAATGGGAAAGGCAACAGCTGAACAGGCCCAAACAACAGAAAAAAGTGAACACATTCCCGAGAAGTAGGGAGGACATACAGTACGGGGATCAGAAGCGAAGGGGCAAAACCACACTACGATGAAATTTCGACAGCAAGCGTGACGCCAGATGACAAGTGGTGACTGCACCCTGCAGGATGGCGGGCCGGTTTACTCGGATCTCTTCGAGATACGAGGAAGAGACAGCCACCCCATAAGCATCACGCCGTACAATCCAATGCATATCGGATGCAAGACGTACGTGCTCACTGTTTGGGCCAGCAGACCGGTGAAGAATGGCGATACTGCTCCCCCACTGCTTCCCATGGCACTGATAATGCTCAGACTGGACGTCTGCATCGAGCGCGGCAGTAGCTTGCTGAACACTACCGTGGCGCAAGGATACACTGGTCCCAGTAGCAGACCCACTACGGCTACAGCCACGGCGTCCCCGATGATGTTGGGAATGAGCCAGGTCATGAGCTGAAAGGCAACTGATCCGAGCACCAGTAGGATGACGGATAGCTTCTCCCCGACTAGGTGGGCGGGATGCGATAGGACAAACCGTCCAACGGTAATGCCAGCCCAGAATCCGGCACTAACGTAGCCAACCCGTGAGGGGTCCCCATGACGATAGTTGATGAGGAACGAGACTACCCAGCCGGAAATGGAGACTTCCGCCCCTTGGTAGGCGAAGATGAACAAAGCCCCAAGTAGAGTGGGTCGACTCTTCAGTGCTTGCTTCAGAAGGTGTGTTCTGGCCGCCTGGACTGGGCCAGGCGTTTGCTGAGAAGTGGTCCGATGGAGCGCCGTCAGTAACTGTGTTGGTAGTTCCTTTTCATATTTCCGGAACGCCCAAGCGGAGAACACCATGTTGATCAGCGACATGGCCAGGTTAATACTGTAGAAGTAGGACCACCGGACCCCATGAGATGCCAATGCCGTCGCCACTAGCGGGCCTATGATGCCGCCGATGCCATAAGCACCATGAAGAGCGCCCAGAGCTGCAGTGCCGTTCACAAGGTTCGCGCAAAAGACATTATTCAGGGCTAGGTTGACAGCCATGCCGAGGCCTAGCAGGAAGAAACTGGCCACAACGGCAGGGAATGGTGGCTTGCAGACGAGGATGACATAACCAGCGGTGGTCAAGCTTGTAGCCAAAGAATAGGTCTTTGACCGGCCGAGCTTTAGCTCCAGCATTTGGGTCAAAGGGGCAGCAAGAATGAACCCCACCGCATTTGTTACAAAGATCAGCGACACGATAGCATAACCGATATTGTAGTCTTTCTCCATGTAGGGGATGAGGGCTCCAGGAGCGCTGTCGTTCAGTCCCCCGGCGAAGTTCATCAAGCAAGTACTCAACAGCCGCCATTTAGTCATTGGCGGACTCTGTATTGCGGGAATGGAGTCCACAGCTTCCTCTCCCGGCGAAGTGGGATGGCTTTCCAATTCCCCGGGGCTTACAGGCGTCTGCAAACCCAGTGTCTGCTGAGAGGGTATATCGGCGGTCTGTTGACTGCGTTCTCGTCGGAGACCCTCTAGTTCATGGTCCGAGGGAGCATGAGGAATCCCTTGCTTATCCTTGCGCACCACCGCTGCAGGACTCGTGATTAGCGGCGGACTCTGGATGTCCACGAGAGTACCCAAGGCTGAGAACGACATCTTCAGCGGAGTATCCAGTCAGTAAAGAATTTCCTAAGAAAATGTAGTACGAAAACTGTGAGGACCCTAGGAAAGAGGATTCTTTCAGGGAGCTCTAGGGATCCCCGACGTGTCGGGATCATTATTAATATCAAAAGGAAGTGAATTAGCTTCAGCGGAATATCACCCCGCAAACCCCACCAGTAAGCAAACAACAAAGAGACAGGATTCGGAAACCAATCAGGCACATGCAAGTTTCAAGATATGATACATCTACTCCAAGTGCCGGCAGAGGTGTCCAAAACACGAGGTCAAGTGGTCTAGATGCCAGGGTTTGCCCACACATTGTGCAGGAGACCTGACTCGCAAGCAAGGCCCTGGATCGAGGAATTCCATGGTGTACTGTGTAGCTGGCTTAAATGTCACATTTCTTAACGACCTTCCACTGAATATGAGCAAGGCAGTAGGTAGTGGATAAAGAGATCTAGATGGCGGGGGTGGGAGAGAGTGAGAGCGAGACTGGCAAAGAAGCGGATGGGGACCCACACTCCCCGCCGGGGATTTTCAACCGCCCGAATTTCTTCTTTCGAGAAAATCCTCCGCAGTCGACGGTTTTCGCATTTTGCTCGCGCATTCTTCAGTCTCCTCAATACTCAATCAACGTCAGAGCCTCATAACCTCCCACCGAATCGCTCTTGTGTACTTCCAAATGGGTCCTCCTAGGCGCAAGGTTCTCGCTACGGCAGAAGAAACCATGTTCCCGCCGGATGAGCTGCCTCAGGGCCATCTGATCGCCCGGGCTGTTAAGGCGACCGGAAACAATATCTACTCAGTGGAACTTCCCTCGAAGGAATCGGTTTTGGTGGAGCTCCCTGCCCGCTTCCGGTCGACCATCTGGATCAAGCGGGGTTCCTACGTGGTGATCGATGCCAATGCCCTCGAGGGCCGCGACAACAAGCTCAAGGGAGAAATTGTCAACATCGTCCGTGATGAGAAAGCGTGGCGCAAAGCCCCATTTTGGTAAGTGGACACTTTTATCGCGATGCCTGGGGCTATTACTGATCCCTTTGCAGGCCAAAGGAATTCGCTAAGCAAGCTGTTGTTGTCGCGGACGACTCGGACGAAGAGGATGAGTCCAATGTCGGCAAGATGCCCTCCTCAGATGAGTCGGATGCTTGATTAGAATCTTGCTTGATGCTTCAGGCATCAGGCCTTATCGCATGGGCATTAGACTACTTAACAGAGCAGTCTTACTTGTTCACGGCTTCTCATTTATTCCTCATGGGTACAAGGCCGATTGCGATCATCGATGCACCTGTCACAGCCCGATTTCGATATCGGCTGGATGTCACTTCTATTGGATATGCTCTTTACCGCTAAGTTTCGAACGCATGGTATCAAAGGCGCTGGCGCTATTCGCAAGGACGCCGAAACTCTGGGCAGCAAGTGCGAGGACAACAACGACGGAACTGAGGTTGGTGCTGGGGAATACATTCCAAGCCCACTCTTGCATAGCCCAGATGAGGTACAGCAAGGTGGGATGAAACCCTGCGCGCCAGAGGAGGAAGGGTGTCGCCCAGGAGAGATAGGCGAAGAACTGGTAATGAAGGGACCTTGCGCACAACAAGCCAACTGCAAGAGACGATAGCATCACGGTCATGATGTAGGGCTTGGAGAGAGATACTGTGCGCTGTCGACCCGCAAGCAGATTCTGGATGAATACGGGCAAGCTAGACCCGGAGGGCCTCAACCAACCAGTGACGGCAAAGGCGCCCAGCAGCACGATGTGGATAGCCAGCAATGCCAGGGAAAACTTCTTGGACAAGAATAGTTCTTCACCGACAAACCTCCAATTGACTGTCCATTTGAACATGAACTGTCTGGTTAGCTCGAATGCCCGCGAGAGATATCCTGCGGGGTTGTTTTGTAGGAACGGTATAGCAAGTAAAACCTGTAGCTCAAGGTCAGACTAGTCTCCACACAACTCGCCCTTGGCCAATTCTGCAGCCTCACGGGGACCTACCTGGATAAGGACGGCCAGAACCCCCAGTCTCACACTAGGACCAAGCGACAGACTAAGCACCGTGACAACGGCAATCGCCGGAGCCAACAGCAACAATGTCATCTTAATTGCGACACCGGTAGACCACACTGCGACCGCAGCCGTCCACTTCCGATTCATGAATAACAAAATGGCAACCCACATCGCCAGCGCCGCCAAGCCGTCATTGAACAGACGCAGGACATAAACGCTATGAAGTCTCTTGGAAAGGACCAGCAGCGGGAGCAAATATGGGGGAGCACCCGACTGTCTATAACAGCACAGCACAACCACCAGCGTGATCAAGTAGAGCACAGCAAACAGTATCTGACCGAAGAAAATATCGCGCCCCTCATCGGTGAGATGATAGAGGAACGTATAACTGTATACATGGCCGGCCGGATAGACAAGGGGACCAGTGGATCCTTTGATGAGAGTGTAATCGCGTTCACCGGACAAATAGAACGATATCTGTTGCATATATGTGGTCCAGTCAATCTCGGTATCTGTGAGTAACAGCAACGGGGCTAGGTTAGTGGCATTGCTTCAACTTGTCGCAAAACAGCGTGGACGGAGCTTAGCTTTAGCCTTACAGGGAACCTTCCAGATGATCAGCGCGCAGAGAAAAGCGTCGCCCAGGACCAGAAGCGGAGCCATCCATTTTGTGTGTCGGGGATTGAGACACAGATCGCGAGTTAGGCGCATCCAGTCCATCTTGCGTGTGGTTGTTGAGCCAGCTACTTTCTTCTACAGCTGTAGATGTCGGGTGGCCTCTTCGTGCCGGAGAGCCAATGAGAGCTGCCCCCGTTTGGGATTAGCGTTCGTGGACACACACAAGTCCGCGCGGCCGCATGTCTGCAGAACAGGTGGGTTCGTTACCATAGAATTGAGGCGAATTGTACATCAAATGAGAGTTGTATTTAATCGCGTATGCATAATCATATAGTAGACAGTAGTTGTAGGTACACTATCGATACAAAGATGGGTATATTGCTGCCATGGGTCAGATTTTGTGCCCGGCCGAAAATTTCCGAAGCCAACCTCCGTCGAAGCCAACACGGCTGCTTCATGGCTTAATTCATGGTTTGATCCATAATTCCTTCACGCTGTACATGCTCAAGGCCAAAATTAGCCTTAATTGAGTCCTCCCCGCTTTCCTTTTGTCCGTTACCGACCCTCCCCAACCCGTTGTGACTGTGTTGTCGTCGACGTTGGCATATCTCCACTACTCGTAAAACCCAGCAGTTCGCCCAAAATCCCCCTAGGCTTGGGAACTGGACACTCGTGGCCTGCCTTGGCCAACCTCTGTGCTTCTTCTTCTAATTGTAGAAACGTAGACACCTCCTCATCAGCAGCCGGCTGCGTCTGGGCGAGCGGAATGCCATCCTGGCTGAGAAGTTCTTCGTCTTTCCGACGTCTTCTGCGGATTCTCTGAATTGGTTGCCCATCTGCCGACATTATCATCTCGGAATCGGCGAATGTGCGACGCGGGGCGGGACAGGGAAAGACATGTGGTAGGCCGACGACGACCAAGGAAGCCAGGAGCGTCCCGGCGAAGAGGGAGGACGTTGACCGTGACCGGGGATGTAGATGCGGCGGCATGTTGAAAGATGGATGTGATCAATTGAGGAGTAAGGAGAATTATTATGCAGAGCGGAGGGTGACGGTGACAATGATGATGCGTTGACTAGGTCGGGGACATCGGTCAGTTTCAGTGCATAACAATCATTGAAAAGAAAGGGCCAGTCAAACCTTGTAGGGACGAGAGAACAAAGGATTAAAGACAGGCAAGGCGGGAGGCCCCAATCACGGTATGGCCTCACCAATGGATAGCGGGGGGCGCGATAGAAGGACCACCGAGGAAGCCGGGGAGGGGAGAGAAGTTATGATGGGGAGACTGGAAAGGGAAGGGAACTGAGGCAGCAAATTCAGGCTACAAACTTCCCGAACTGGATGAATTCGGTCTAGTCTTGGCGATCAGATCTAATCTTATCTTTACTGCATATGATTGGCCACTAGGGACAGCGGCGAGGTGCAAACTGGAAACTGAAGGGACTCAAACCGCCTGAGCTGCCATCGCCCACCTCTCTCACCTCTGCCTCCACTCTTCTGCCCCCTCCCCTCCCTCCTCCCATCTCGCCCGTTCTCGCTCTGCTTCAGTCGAGCACTGCATTAGACGAGAAAATGAGCGTTCTGTTTTTCTGCGCTTAGCGGTTTCCCCCTTCATCCATCTTGCGCCCTCCCCATCGGCATTGACTCAAGTGCCTCCATTCTTCTGCCGTCAGGACCCACCCTCCCTGCTCCCTGCTCCAACTCAGTTGCTCATTCCGATTATCTCCTGCTGCGCTCGAGCACCATGAGCGACCTTGACCGGTATTCCCTCCCTTCCCACCCCTCGTACCCTCTCCCCCTGAGACCACGATAAGCTAACATCCCACTTTTTGTCGCGTAGGGCTATCGCGCAATTACGCGCTTGTCGGTTGATACCTGAAGCCCAGGTCCGCGAACTCTGCTACAAGGCGCGCGAGCTCCTAATCGAAGAAGGAAATGTAGTCTCCGTCGACGCGCCCGTGACAATCTGCGGCGATATCCATGGCCAGTTCCATGACTTGATGGAACTGTTCCGCGTGGGCGGCGACGTCCCGGACACCAACTACCTATTCATGGGCGATTTCGTCGATCGCGGATTCTACTCCCTCGAATCTTTCCTCCTCCTTCTCTGCCTCAAAGTCCGATACCCCGATCGCATCACCTTGATACGTGGCAATCACGAATCGCGCCAAATCACCACCGTCTACGGCTTCTACGATGAGTGCATCCGCAAATACGGCAGCGCCAACGTCTGGCGATACTGCTGCGAGGTCTTCGATTACCTTGCGCTCGGTGCCCTCGTCTTGGGCGCCAGCTCAGAGCTCGAGCCCACCGGCCCCAGCATGGATACCACCCAATCCACCATGCCGATCGATGACGAACTTGAGACCGAAATCCTCAACTCCAGAGGCGAAGTCACCATGAGCACCTATCGCCCCCGCCCACAATCCTCCTCCGACCCATCATCCATCTCCCCACCCCGCGACATCTCCGCCACATCCAACCAAGCCCCCTTCCGCTCCGGCGCTGCCGGTACAAGCGCCTCCGGCGACGCCGGCGGGAGCTACGGCAGCCGCACCGGAGCCGTGCTCTGCGTGCACGGCGGCCTCTCCCCGGCCATCGACACAGTCGACAAGATCCGCCTGATTGACCGAAAACAGGAAGTGCCACACGAAGGCGCCATGTGCGACCTGCTCTGGTCCGACCCCGACGAGATCGACGGTTGGGGTCTGAGTCCCCGCGGCGCGGGGTTCCTCTTCGGCGGCGACATCGTTAAACGCTTCAACTACCGGAACGACCTATCACTGATCGCGCGCGCGCATCAACTCGTCATGGAAGGTTACAAGGAGATGTTCGACGGCGGGATCGTAACGGTCTGGTCCGCCCCCAACTACTGCTACCGGTGCGGCAACGTCGCCGCTATCCTGGAATTAGGCGAAGATACAAGCAACGGTGGCACCGTCGCCAGAAGCAATGGCGACTATGGAAGGAGCAACGGGATCATGGGATCGACCAATAAACCAGCCGTCCGTAGTCCCGGGAGACGGTATAGGGTGTTTGAGGCCGCGGCGCAGGATACCAGAGGCATGCCTGCTAAGAAGCCTGTTGCTGATTATTTCCTGTGATACCATTTGCCGTATGAACGAATGCATTTTGTTATGCCCTTAATCTTATCTACATCTGTTCTGCTTATGCGTCTCTGTCTGTGTCTGTATCCCAGCCGTCCTCCTACCGCCTTGTCCTTCCAACATCCTCGCATCTTCTATCCATCTATATAGGCCGGCCCGCGCATGAACATGACTTGCTCTCTTTTTACTTCTTTCTCATCATCTCTTCCACTCAACTATAGCTGGTTGGTACCGCCCTTTGCTGGAAATTTAACTTGATGATACATGCTTGCTTGCTTGCATTTTACATACAGATTTCAAGCTTTGTTTTCTTTCTACCTGCTGTTGTGTCGTGTCTGTGGGTTTCCGGGCTTTGTATGTGTGTGCATCATCCATGACTGCTAGCATTTAGGTCACGATTGCCTTTTCTTATTGTCTGTCTTATTGTCTGTTGGTATTTTTTGTGTATGATCGGGTTGACCGAATTCATTTGACTAAGGCTCTGTTTACACTTTACACTTACTCTGGTTTAGGTAGTTCATGGGTATGTTTGTATATTTCGGGTTTTCATGGTAGTTGGGTTTGGGCATCCGCGATCACTACTTGATTACCCTGCTGCCCTCCGGGGCGAGCTAGTGAGGGGTTCTTGAAATGCGAGGAGGGGAGCAGATGTTAGCGATAGGTAGGGTCAAGGCCGATCCTCTTGTAATGATTTTTTCTATTATACTGTTTGATTCGATATCTCTAATAAATCGCCCGAAAGGGTATGGTATGGTGTCCATCGTCATATGAACTATACAAAAAGCCTGAAATGGAACCCGAATGCCAGCATCCACGGATGATCCAGATATCCAAGTAAGGCGAAGCAGATAGCACAAGACAAACATTAGTTCAGGCACATATGCCAAACTTATCGTAACATCGTAATTATTTTTTCTTTATCTTGAGGCACCGCGGGGTGCAACTTGCGTGGCCAAGGACTGCACCGGCATTATCACCTTTTGATTGTCCCAGCAATCACACGCCACTGTAGCCAGACATTCCTGGATGCTGCTCTGGATTAGCACTCCCTGGAGGTGCTCCAACCCCAAACCTCATCGTTGGGGTTGGTCGAGAGCTATTCTCGGCTCCCGATGTCTGCCCAACGTTGGCGTAATGGTTTCCGAACCGCATGTCGGGTTCTCTCCCAGTCATACCAGGGTTCCATCCTGGCACCCAATGGTCCATTCCGAAGGTCATGGCGCTCGATTCACGAGACCACCAGTCTTGGCTCTCTTCTACAAGATTTTCCGGCCCATCAAAGGGTGTTACAGGAGACGATGTCGTGGTTGCAGGAATGTTCTGCCCAGTGGTGAATGTGCGGATCTGTTCTTCGTCCGGGGCATACCAGACCTCCTGCTGGGCCACCGGAACGGGCTGGAACTGATTATAGGCGTTCGTTACGGGCCGGAGATACGTAGGCTCAGGAAGCCGGGTAGCGCCCTGCGCAAGCTGAACGTTCAATGACCGCTGCGCTGCACGCACAGCCGACACAGAAGGTGGTATTGGAGGTCCCGTTGTGTGTGAAAATCCCATGGACCCCACCGAAGTGGGTGGCGACTGCATCACAGGACCGCCATGCTCATGTGAACCCATCGGTCTCCCGGTCTGTGGATAAAGCACACTGCTTGGATCTGCAACCGGATAATGCATGGTTGGAGCTGGCGGTGACTCCTCGGAAGGCGGAGGAGATATCGCTTGATCCCATGAGCCCCAGTATCCCCATTTGGCATGTGTTTGTTCGAAAGTGGCTGTAGCCTCTGCCGGCAGTTCGACATGCCACTTGTTGGCAGAAATCTCTAGAATCCTGAGGGTGCGCCGTGCGCAGAGCCAACTCTCACCCATCTCTTCGAGATGCCGCAGGCCATGGATGACGTCTCGCTGAGCATTCTTCTCTGGAAGATTGAGAAGATGTACAGTCAACGCGGTATGGGCAATGTAGACTGCAATGTTGCATATTTGCTTGAACCCGTAGGTCCGTTTGTACATCCTCAGCAACTTTGAGATTGCAGAAGCAGCCTGTGTGCACAATTTCCGGGGAGACACATGTTGGGGAAGTGGAGAATTGACTTTGGAGTATTTGAGGAAAGGTCGATAAAGGTGTATGAGAAGGAGCTGGTAGAACATACTTTTGGTCTGTCAGTGATACAGCTTAATGTGACAGCAGCCATCACCATGAAACTTACTGCATTAGAAGTGCCTGAGGAAGCTGGCCCTCTTGTGGTCTGAGTTCCTTTGGTAGATCCTTCTTCCAGGCTTCAAGCCTTGTATGCAGATCACTGAGTTTCTTGAGTTCTGCCTGCTTAGTGGTGGGTTTCTCCTTCGGAGTCGGGTCGTAGAAGAATACAAGCAGGTCGCCATTGATCTCGCACAGGCGGAAGATCTGAGAGGCAACGGCTCGGATCCGCGACGGTTGAGTGTGCTCACGACCTACTCCCGTATCCATGTATGGGGACCATAATTCAGCTTCCTCGTTAGGCAATATATCCACTTTCGGGACGCTAATGCTAGATCCCGCCAATTGGGGCTGGCGACCGAGGTAATTAGACCAGCACCTGCGAATGTTAGAGCTCATCAAAGAACCCCTAAGAGACTGTATGGTCACGTACTTATCGAACAGAAAGCAACCCCAGAATGTTATCCGGCGTGCATCCACTTCTTCTTCGCCCAGATCCCGCGCCCCGAGGCTGGTCGAGTCAAAGTTGAGGCCCAAATCGAAGGCCATCCGAAAGCTCATCCCGCTGTAGACCCAGCCCTTGCTCTCGCGGCCACAGCCCGCCTCGCGTACCGACAGCAGAGCCAGCGCTTGTACGGTGCATAGCTTTGCATTCGCGTGTTCATCGTTCTCGAAGAATAGCCTTTTGGCCTCTTTGAAGAAATGATCGCCCGCCGTGGCAGAATTCTCTGGATCCTCCCGAGCGCCTTCCCAGGAGCTGAAATGGCAGCCCAGAGCTAGCATTGCATTGACGAGCAAAGTCGAGCAATACTGGCTGGGCACCCCGCGTATATAGTCCCGATAAAATAAATCCTTAGAAAGGGTCGTGAAGAACGGGTAATGCCAGGTAAAGTACATTGTCATGAGATGACTGATCAGTCTCTCATCCTGAGTAACACGGGTCCACCGTGTGACGGAATAATCACCATGGCCCTGATCCGATTCCTGGGCACCTAAAGATGATCTAAATTCATTCAGCTCCGACCCGGGAGGCAGGAAGATGAGGTTCGAGGTGCCCCCAATGAACTTGCGGGAGCCGTCCAAAACAAGCTCACTCATCTTCCCTGCTAACTCCGACTCGAACTGGTCAGTCTGCGTTAGGGCTTCATCTCCGCTAGCTGCTGTGTCGTCAGGGCCTGCCGTGGAACCTCTCCCTTGGCCGAGGATCGATTGTGCGACATCTTCGAGATTATCGCAGGACCGAATCTGGCGAACCAAGTCGAATGCATCCTCTTCTTCGTAGTTCAATAAGGCTTGTATTAACGTCAACAATGTAGTGTTTTTCGTTCTCAACGCGTCGGTATCCTTCTTATAAACACCTTTCCTGCGATGGTCGGAATTCGGATCGTAGACGCCTAGGGCATTGTGAGCCTCTATCATTTGAAAGCAGCATGAAAGGCAGTACTATACAGGCTGTATGATAGACAGAGGAACAGGCTGCGCAACTCGGTAGATTTCCATCGCACTAGACCACACCATCAGCTACAAAGAGCATGTACAGCGGTAGGGTCGGTCGTACCTTGGATTTCCTCCTGCGGCAGGCGATACACGCCGTACTGACACAACGTCTTTTCGAAGCCGGGCCATTGTCCGATTTTGTAGCTTGAGTTCTGGTCGAAGCTTTCCCTCGAGAGCCTGTCAGGGTGGGCGTGGCGTCCATCTCTTGCGACTTCTCCGCGGAGCTGTCTTCCATCGCTGTCAGGTCCACCCAGGAGTGTTCGGAGAAAGCGTCAAAACAGGGCGAAGCATGCTTCTCGAGGGGGGAAAGAGCGGGTCGGGCTGCTGGAGAGGGAACCCAGAAGGCCCCTGCACAAAATGGGTGGAGGGGAAGCGCGGGTCGAGGGTACCGGCATAAGCTCGACAGCAAGAGAGCGAATCTGAGGCCGTGGTAGAGGCATTAGTTAGGCAAGCGCGCAGGAGCTAGGACGGTACTATTGGCAAAGTCGCAGAAGGAGCTAGTGCAGAGGAAGGATGGAGTGTTGCGCAATCGGCAATCGGAGGATGTCAGGAAGTCGAAAGATGCATGTTGGGCGACTCACAGATCAATCCAGTCAGTCAAGTCGAGATCGAACCACAAAAAGAATTAGGCTACCCCGCGACGTGCAGGAATGGGTTGACGAAATGACCCGCAAGTGGAGGCGACGGGTTGCTCTGGGTAGAGAAGATGGAACCGGGGAGGGGGTTTGTACGGGGTAAAGCAATGAGCATAGAATGAATGAAAATCGACGGAGGATGATAAGAGGAGATGATCTGGACGGAATGATTGGACAATGGTGGGGGGGGGGGGGGGGGGGTGTTAAGTAAAAAGGAAGAGATAGCGAGTCTGTGCAACTGCGCGCCGGCAGCTCGACGATCTGGCCCGGTTGGTTGGATGTGCGGCGATAAGAAACGGTGGATGACTAATGCGCCCTTCCAGAGGTAACGAACTTTATAACTAGCAGATAACTAGCAGTTAACTATGAAAGAGGGTACTGTGGAAACATGAATGTCAGTTAGGCATCGGGCCATATTATAGTGATGATGAACAGACCATGATAGATACTTGATTATCTATTAATCTTCGTCCATCTTATAGAGTTCTGCGTGGAAACGACTAGTACTTCCCACTGGTGTTCATATCTGCAGGATAGTCAAGATATGCTTTCTTTTTTTCTCTGTTCTGCCTATCCAACATATCTTATTGGAAGAAAGCATGATATCCCACTGTCGAAGGAATGATTTGGGTCGTTTCCGGTCGGCACCATCGCAGTTGTGTCACATGGCCCTCCATTCTTCATAGTACAATCTGACCAGTTACAAGTAGTTGGTTACAAAGTACCGCTGGTTGGTTACTACTGAAAGAGGTTTAGTGTATGTGCCTGATCTATAGAAATCCTTGATGCTTGACCTGTGTATCGCGACGACCGATGTAGGGCAGGAATCCTGGTTTATCCCGTCGCCACTGGCCGATGTCACCAGTCCGATACAGTTCGACAATTGAACTACCAGCGACAGTCGTGCCGTCAATTATGCCTGGGCCTTTTGTGTGCCGGTGTGTGAAATAAGTACTTTGATAGATCTTTCCTCATGCTCACGGCTCCGGTGAAGATAGCCAGCTGACTTTCCCGGCCCGCCAATGCATATCTCACCATGAATGCCACTTTCCTCGATAGGCTCCAGGTTATCGTCTAGCAGATAAACAAGCGTTTCCAATGGGCTGGCCAATGCTGATGCGGTCTTCCAGACAGTCCGGCAAGGTTACCCTGTACATGGTCGTCAGGGTAGTCCCCTCAGTAGGACCGTACCCATTCCACAGGTTTTCTGGGGGTTCCTTCTCCAGGACAAATCGCAGCGCTCGTGGATTCGCTGCCTCGCCAGCTGTTACCACATGGCGCAAAGCACGAAATGCATTGGGGGCTGTTGACGCAATTATATTGAAGAGGGCCGTTGGGATGATCATCACGCTCGCTCGGGTGTCAGTCAAAAAGGCAGGAAGACGGCTTGGGTCGGTTGCGACTCCCTTTGGCAGTACCACGATAGTCCTCCGGGCTATCAGCGTGGCCCACATCTCAAACAGACTCAGATCGAAGCCAGGATTGTTGAATGCGGTCACGCGATCGGTATGTGACAGCGGAGTCATGTTGTTCTTCATTGCCAAATGGAGGATGCTGCTTGTCTGGATCTGAACGGGTTTCGGCTTTCCCGTGGACCCCAATGTGAAAAGGATGTGACTGCGTCCGTCCTCTTTCTGTTCTGAGTAACCAGGTGACTATGGTGGCGGAATAGCGCGGGTTCGAGGTGTTCCATCGGGTAAAGGTCGAAGCCTTGATACCTATTGGTAGAAAAATCCTCAATGATCACTCGTCTGACGGCAACATCACGTAACAATTCACAGATCCGCTTCGGGGGCTGGTTAGGCTCAAGAGGGACGCATGTTGCACCGACGAGATGGACGGCCACTTGGGCCACCACTTGACCCAGGCCAGGGTTGAGAAGAATACCGACGGGCTCTTCCGCCTCAACCTTGTCTTTCAGCTGAAGACTGTCCGCCAGGCATGTGGCACGGGCTAGCAGTTGCCCATACGTGAGGGCTTGAGGCCCGTCCAGCACGGCCATAGTGTCTGAATGCTCTTGAGCATGTTGCTCCAGAACTCTTTCCATCATGGTATAGCAAACCATTGTGAACTCCATCAGTTGAACTGGACTCTTCTCTTAGCGGAAAGTTGGGTCCAGTTCAGAAGTTAGGGACGGTGTCTGAACTGAGCAGGTACATGCAAATGGAGGGTTCGATGAAATATGTATTGATTGACAATCAAATGTCTCGATGCTTTCATTTGTGGTTTCTTTCTGCGGGCAAACAGGAAAGCAGCAAGGCAAGTACTTATCATAAATCCACGGCATCCTCCAAATGGCATCGCCGTTCAATACGTACTCCGCTGAAGTCGCTCGGGGTTTTAATCTCCACGGCAGTCCAACATCAACCTCGCGATTCCGCGGCCAACTGCTATGTCCGGAACGACGGCGACCCGATCGCCGTCCCATGCGTGAACGCTGAGATCATCACCGGTCGCGACAAGGTGATGTAGTCGACAAGAATTTGTGAGTGCAACTCGCCGGATCCAGCAGGTGGACGAACTTTTGACTTTCAACTCGTCACGAAGGCCGTTCTTCTGGCAATCTACTGGCCCGCGCATGCTGATCAATGAAGGTTTACTCCACAAGAGAATAAAAGATCCGGTGCAAGTTGACAAGAAGACAAAAGCCGTTCAAAGGAGCATGGCAATCAATGATCATTGTGTATAATCTGATCTCAGATGTGAGTCAATGCATATGTATAACCATCATCAGATGAGTGGGTCTGATGGCTAGATCGATATGTCATGTGGCTATATTGTTGAAAAGAGGAATCATTGATATCATAGCATTTCATGTAAAGTTTGACCAAGGACTGACAGAGAATTTTTCATTTGCTGTCCATGCCACCTGTACCCCATATTGCGAATGAACTCCATTGGGAAGCGAGAACTAGGGTTTGGGGTCTATCCCGCAAGCGTCGGCCGGACGTTTGTCACTCATGGGTTTGAGCATTTCCTAATCAAGATGCACACTGGGTGCTACCCACCATATACCAGCCAGTGTCGTTTTGTGTGTCCAGATCGACGTGTCCTAAGGACAGCAAGAACACACATTACCATGGATAGGAACAAGTCTCAGACTTCCATGCTTTGACTTATAAAGTCTCGCCAACAAACTCCATCGAGAAATCAACCGCCCTTTGCACGCGTAGCTTTACCTGCCTGCGAAACAGTGGAAGAAACGCTATACCTGAACTCACACGATGCAGCTCCCGCCTTCATTGACTGCGGCCCTGCAGTCGGGCATCGCCAAGCGACGACAGCAAGGCCAATACTTTGAAATGAGCCCTCCTGCCACCGAAATGGGCATGGTTGACTTCGGGTCCAATGACACGCTAGGCCTCCGATCCAGTCCCTCCATGCACGAAATCTTCCACAGAGAATTGAAAAAGAGCCCTGACTTCGTTATCGGAGCTGGCGCGAGCCGATGCCTCGGTGGTTCCACCAACGAGGTCACGAAATTGGAGAGACTGCTAGCCTACTTCCACCACGGCAAAGAGGCCGTGTTCTTCAACTCAGGATACGAAGCCAACGTTGGCATATATAGCACCTTGCCTCAACCCGGGGATGCCATTATCCACGACATCACGGCCCACGCGAGCATCCGTGATGGGATCCGTTATGGCCGTGCGTCCATCGTAAAAGCTTTTGCACATAATGATCTCCAGTCGCTAGACGATGTGCTTGAAAAGCTTAAGCTCGAATCGGCCGATATAAACTGCGGGAGAAGAACGGTGTTCGTTGCTCTGGAGTCATTCTACAGTATGGAAGGGGATATCTCACCTATCCCGAAAATCCTCTTGCATGTTAGAAGTGCTCTACCGGCTGGCAATGGAGTGCTCATAGTTGATGAGGCTCACTCGACGGATATTGTTGGACCCAACGGCTCAGGATACATATGTCACTTGGGACTGGAGAAGGAACCCATTATATCAATGCAGAGCTTTGGCAAAGGCCCTGGTGCCTTGGGTGGTATGTGCCCTTCAACTTCCTGCCTCCGTCACTGGCTAGCTTAACGTGCACCAGGCGTAGTCATTTGCGATCCTTTGATCAAAGAATACATGGCCAACTTCGCACGAGGCCTGATGTACTCGACCGGGCCTTCCTTCCCCACAATCGCCGCCATCAGAGCTTCGATTGCCACCCTCAGCAGCGCAGACGGGGAGCAGGTAAGAACACTAGCGATCAGACCTTTCTAATATATCCCAAGTCTAAATAATGGTCACCGCAAATAGCGCCGCCAGAGGCTCCGCGCAAACATCATGCTCTTCCACCAGCTCATCCTCATGCATCCAAGGCGACAGGCTCTATCCATCTCCGGGGTTCTAAAGTTTCCCTCCATTGAGCATAATAAAAAAGGAGAGGCATTCGTGGCCATCATCCCCATCATCACCAAGCAAGGACAATGCCACAAGCTACAGCAGAGACTGCAGGAATACGGGTTCCGTACCCATGCAGTCCGATACCCTGCTGTCCCAAAAGATGAGGAGCATGTCCGCTTGATGCTGCACGCGGATAACAAGCCGGACGAGATCAGAGGCTTTGCGCGAGTGTTGATGGAATGGGGCTGGGAAATGATGCAGGTTGGGCCCAGGCCGGAGTCTCGACTGTAAATTGGCAGGACAGATGGCTCGTGTACTATTGTTCGGTTCGAGGTTGTGACTTATTACGCTCGTTTGTATAGTGCACAGATCACACAACATCACTCCACATAGTCACTGCCGCTCAACACAAGCGATGAGACTCTGCGTCTTCAATTCAGGTCAGGTTGACCATATCGATAATGTCCCCAATAGATTAATTCCGGCAGATGCTCTTTCTAAGCCACATGAGATGTTTCTAGAACGCAAGGCGAGCAGAGGAGAAGGGCAGATCGTTCACAAATCGTTCGAATCATCATCAGCCGTAGTCGTGGCAAGGGAGCGGACAGGTCCGACTCGGAAGGCAACTTCCTCCTGTATTCGCGTATGAGCCTGTATTCGTCCCTTTTCCCTTTACTTTCTGTGTTCTGTTTCTCGCTAATCGCTATCTAATTGGTTATTGTCTTCCAAGTCGTTAGAAAGGGATGTCGCCAAGAACTATGCAGCATTACTGTTTGATCACTCCTTTTCTCCTGTATTAGTAGAAATATGTTAGTTTCGCTCAAATTGATCACTTCGATGACTAAGGATATATAGCAGCATGAGTTAGGCCGAGCAGCTGTCTTGTCCATATCTGGTATGGTTATCACTGCACGTAACTGCAGATAGCCTGAGGTTGCTTTTTGCTGGGCTCAGTAAAACCGGGCCCCTAGAACAAACGATAATGACATTCTAGTAGATATCCGGTGGGCATAATCCCATGACCTTCGAGTTCCAGCCATCGGGTTTGGCCGACTTGCTGAAGGCCTTGCATAAGTCCACTGCTTCGTACAATGATAAGAAAGGCCAGAATCAGATGAGTCATCTTGCTTCACTGCTCATTGATCAACCGGAGGTACTTTGAATAGAAGAAGTAAATGTTGACATTCCCAAGGGACACTTTCTGCGCTTTACCGCTTCTTTCCAACCGCATATATGGTCTTGGCTTGATGCTGTTCTCAAAGAGTAGACGAGGCATTGGTCCTCGGCAGAGAGAGCGTGCATCGGGGAGACTCCGCAAGCGTCCTCCGTGCTTGACCCAATGAGGCCCAAGCAAATGCGATCCTCGGCGCCAAGCCTTACGGATCGTCTGGAGGATCCCGGATTATTAATTACCGGAAAAACAAAATGTTGGAACCGTTTTAGGGAAGAAATCGATATCTGCAGGCTGTCCCCGTCCTACTGTGTATGGTACTTTGGTGATACCCGGCGAAATCAATGTTTACCAGTATCTCACGGGACAATCAGTATGTTTGCATGGAAAGGGAGACGGACAAATGTTCCTTTGTCCCGACAGCACTTCCGAGGAAATGACACCCACCCCACGAAGATCAATATGGGTGGTTGGTGGTTGGGCAGACACACAAAAGTCCGACCACCCCCATCTCCCACAATAATAATGATGCTAATCGGTGATGGTAATGGCGAACCACCAAAGTTACGGTGTGACGGGGAAGAAGTACGTAACACTCGGTAATATGGAACATTCTTTAGTGGGGAAGGAGACATTCTGCCGCTGCCTCTTTGGGACACTGGCCGTTCCAGAAGTTACCGTGAGCCGAGGTGATACACGGCTGTTACCGCGCTAGAACAATTCAGGGTCACACGGTGGGCGTTGGGCAGACTGCTGCGGTGTACGAGGGATGTTCCGGGAGTCGGCACCCGCCCTTACCGCCTGAAACCAACCAACCCCCATTTGGCGCCTCACTATTAGGTACTGGCGCTAAACTGTTTGGGGGGACTACAGACGACGAGGGCGCTAATGCTGTCCGATGCGGTCAGGCGCCTGCAACTTTTCTGTTATGCGATCAATATTACCTTTGCAGTCTAGTGGACTCCGCCGGGACCCGATGTTACGGACAAACCGTCATCCACCCACGTAACTAGTACTGGTTCAGCAGAGGTTAAGATTAATTGTTACCGTCACTTTCTCTTTTAGTGTGTTTCCCCGTTATCTGCCTTTTCTGGATTTCCTGGTTTGAGATCATTACTACACAGTTATTCCCTTTGCCGCTGACTGTCCTGGCTTGGCTTGGCTCTTCCTTATCCTCTCTCTCCCTCTCTCTCTCTCCCTGCTTCTTTGGTTCCTTTGAATCTTCTCCCTTGTCTACTCTCTTTTCATCCTCCTCGTCTTCGTCGTCTCCCTATTCTTCTCTCTGAACTCGTTCCGGTGGACATCTACTTCACTTTCCGTCTCCATCTCTCTCGCTGTCTGCAAAAGTCGTGTGCCTGCATACGGACCCGGCCGTCTTCCGCTTTTGGCATCTTCCGCTCGGCTGGGTCTCTGGCCAGTGCCAACACAGCAAGTGTGTTGTTGCTAGTAGCCGATCTGCTCAAACTACTACTAGTGCTAGACTATATCTATCAGATATACTCCCACTGGGGAACCGCCCACTGGACGTTCCCCTCCCTCCTCTTCTGCTCTCGTGCTCTCTTCCCATCCATGTATCTCGTTCAGACTCTCGACCAGAGCGCCTCGACGGGCCTAGGACGCCTTATTAAACAGTTTTCCTCTGGATCTAAATTGTGAAGATGATGGTCCCAAGAGCTTATCTTTTCAGTTCCCTACCTCCGTCTCCGAAGACATCTCTCCGTCAACATGGTGAGAGAACTCCAGTCACCAAGTCCTCCCTGGATCTTCTCCCCGTCCAAGATTATGCGAGTCTCGAATTTCCATCCGACTCTTCTCCGCAGACCATGCACACCAGTCCGGTTGTGATACCCCCGAAGCGGGCTCCTCGCGTGACCTCGGTGCATTCGCAGACCGCAAAGAAAGGGCCAGCCACGCCGAAGAAGTCTAGAACGGTGTCTCACAAGTCGTCGTCGGCCACTTTGACTGACCGGTCCGTGCCAAGTTCGATTGCGTCGATTCTGGAAGCCACGGCAATCCCCGTGCCTCGCCGGGGATGGACTGTTCGAGAGACTCGCAACCGCAGGAAACTGCCTCGTGTGGATCATGTGCAGCAATTCAGCAAGCTGCTGATGGACGGTGTGGGCGATAATTCGATGGAGAGCACGGGCAACACAGTGCTGGATCTACTTTTGAGTCCCCCGGATGAGGTCGACAAGTCTACAGTTGGGAGTGATTGTGACAGTGAGGCGCCATCTTTCTCCGCTTGCTCTATGTCCCTTGAGTCGACGCCGTCGTTGGAGCGCGACTACGACTCACCATCCAGTCTCCCGGCACCATCTACGCCGTCAAGCCAGCGGAGCCCGTTGGAGCGAAAGTTTCACCGCCAATCACCTTGTGAGAACTGCATCTTCGACCACCCTTTGCTAGACAACGAAGTGTCGGACACGGAAGAGGATTTTGTCGAGCAGGCCTCATTGCCCGATCTGACCCCGAAGAGCCCGACACCATCTCGAACGTTCCCGCGGTTAGGATCCACATTCAAATCTAACCTAACGGCTTCTTTGCGAGCAATTAAATCTGCTGCGCAGAGTGTCTCGGCCTTTGCTACTCCTTCCGTTCAGCCGGACGACTTTCTGACCCGGTCGCTCTTCATGATCACGCCGGAGATGACGGACGACCGACGGCCTCCGCCCATGAACGAGCCGCCATCTCCCGCACTCCGACGGTACCTGAACCCAATAACGGTCTCACCAGCGGAGATGTATGCTTATCAGGAATACCCACACGAGTCCCTTGATAGCCCCAACTGCCCTGTTTCCGTGCAAATGCAAACGTACCATCGCTCGGGTAGGCGCGGCAGTCGCAGGAGCGGGTTCCACCTGGCTCGCTCTGAGGGCCGCGACCGACAGCTGCTACCATTCGACCCGGAGATCCCGCCCATGTCACGCCAGCGCGAGCCGCGGGAGAACAGCGATTTCCTGCGCATGGTGGTTCTCGAGATGAACATGCGACGCAGCGGCAAGCTTCGGGACGATGTTCCGACGCGGGCCCGGATCTGGCTGCCACCCCGCAAGGGCAGTCAGGGCCGTTATGTTCGGTATGACTATTACGAGGATGATGATGAGGACGAGAACGCAGTTCCCTCTCGTTGGGTCGGGATCTCTGTGAGCAGTCTGTAAAACAGTGCCACTTCACCTCAACTTCTTTTTTTGCTTTACACACACTCAATGCGCACAGCGTGGCGCATGGATTCCGGACTTGGCTATTCTTTTTACTTTGCTTTTCTTGTACATATTTTTGCATAGATATTGGAGGCGTTCCCCTTTGGGTTAACGGGGCATAGCGAGGCGTTTGGGAAAAGGGGAGAACCACCTATTCATTTGGAATATTGCTAGAATACACCTGGCTGGCTTTAGGTAGAACAATTGCTACTATCATTTACTTTGGACATCATCTACAGACGCCGCTCATGTGCGGGACAAAACCGAACACAGTGAAACAAGTCGTTATCACCACCGACTCGAAAGCGATAAGTGATAAGTAACGGAGTCCGGAGTACACTACAGCGACTAAGACTACTAATTCCGGATCGAACTAACTAACGAACGCAGCTATTAAGTAGTCCTTCTCTAGCGACCTACCTAATTCATCTAGCTCCAGACTGTTTACCAGGCTACTCTACCCGTGCAGGACTGTCCCGATACGTGTTAGATTATTCTGTATTGGGCTTAGTTGGTTGGTGTTGATGCTTAAGTGCGCCTTCTCGGAACAGTTCCGCTGGATTTAGATCATCGTGATTTGATTTGGTTTGTATAATCTATCGCTAATAAAAAGTCGAAGTTCTAATCATCAAGATGTTTCAGATACATTTGTAATGAGTTAAGGGTAAGTCAGGAGATGATCATAATGAAAGCATGCGTATGACAGAAAGTTTATTTCATGTGGTTGTTGGGTATCACGCGAGCCAAGGCGCATTACTCCGTACTACTATTATATTATTACTTAGTAATATTGTGATCATTATTATTATTGTTGTTGTTTTGTTTTGTTTGTGTTTTGTTGTCCCCTGATCCCCCGAGCCCAACCGCTGCATGTTACTTATGTCGTGTGTTGTGTGTCATTAGGCAGGGGGGACTGCCTTGTCTGCCAGGGATAAGTTGACTTGTAATACTATTCCCACAGTCACTTGGTTACTAGTAGGACAAGGACAATTTATGCTCTAACCTTCACTTCCTCCAAGACAAGACAAGAAAATAATACGATCGCTGATCTACACCCACAGACGGTACTATGTAGAATAACTACTGGTTAGGGTATTGTTCCACCCCCACGGTCAATAGAAAAAATAAACTCAACACGCGGAGGTTAAATAATGGCCTGATGACGCCATGACAGGTGCGATAGAGTTCACGCCTATTGTCATCACTTGTTGTTAGGTTATCCAGTTAGGTTGGGGTATTTATGTATGTATGTATGATACTACCGTTCGTATGTTATGTTATGTATCTTGTCAAAATTCATTGATGCAGAGATTGCAGTAGAATAGGAGAGCTTGAATAGGTAAAATACGAATCCGGTTTTATTGTAAACTACTACCTGAGAAGGTATGATGGCTGGCTGGCTGGCTGGCTAGTGATGGATGACACTGTGCAGGGTTCCCTTATCTCTGTCCAATGGGGAATCAAAATTACCCATGACTCTTTCAATATGAATGTCTCAGCCATCAGTGTTAGTTTTCATTCCTTAGGGATTGCCTGACTGGCTTGGTCGGATTGGGAGTTAGACTGGTCTGTTGGCTAGTTTGTTTTTCTAGTTAGTGGTAAACTACTAGTTGTAAGGAGTAGCTTATGGCTGGATTGCAGAGCTAGATTGCAGGGCTGGACTGGGTATTTCTAGTTTCTTTCATGGATGATGGGTGTATGATTTAGTTTCTAGTAGCGTATCCAATCCATGCGATCTATTTGGACAATATAGTGGCATTCATGTTCTTTTAATGGGCGTGTATTCTCCCTATCCCGCGAACTTTTTGAACGCTACCATAGAACCGTACCATTGAGGGTACTTCATGATCACAACCCACGACAAATGGCAGAGGCAGGTTTGAATTATGCATATGTTGGTATATGAGATCTTAAGATGGTGGTTGGTTGGTGGTAAGACGTGGTGGTCAGAATCCGCTCCTAGTGTGCTTTAATATTGAATCTTCCGAAATCAGTATCGCTAGGCTATCCGGTAAAAGCTGGAAACGTGAGTCAACAGACTCAGAACGCGTATCCATTGTAAGCTTAGAAGAGAGAATGTGAGATCGACCGGATCCTCACAGTGGTGGTAGTGGTCAGAGATCACGTAGGCAGATATGGTAAAGTATCGATAATGCCTGGCTATAGTGAATGTCTCAATGTCTCACATTCTGCAAAGCTATATGAGGATAGAGAGGGTGATATCCTTTGAATAATATACGAGATAGTACAGAGTATCTAGTAGGAGAAAACTAACGAGGAATAAAGAGTGAATTAGCAGCATATGGTCACTATATTGTACGGCTGATATATTCTTCCGCTCCGTTATCTGCCTTCAGCTTGACGGCAGTGACCCACATCGTCGCTTGCTGCTTATCACTACTGGACTAAGTACTACTAGTAGTATCATCGCTACATGTATACTTGCATCCATTGAGCTCATTGGCACTCCTTGCACGCAAATAAACTAATTCTGTCTTATCTGTTTAACAAAAAGCTACAATCATGTTATACCGTGCGGCTTACCGTTTTCCCACTACCTTATACAGGACCAGAAGATCACCATCAGCTCGGTATCTCCATCAAGTCACGGCAGACTTCCAGAACTACGACTCAAAGGGGAATCTAGTCACCGAAAAGGTCCCTGTCATCGCCGGTGATCCAGGAGAAACCTACCTTTTGGTGTATCCAGAAGTCGGCAGTGCTTTCCGTGCTGCTGCAAAGAAAGAACACCACTCTGCGCCTGTTGCGGACGTTATACCAACATGCAAACTTGTGTTCTTTCATGAGTCGCAGCATTTTGGGTTTGGTAAGCAGTTCTCTGTCATTCCAGTCAACATATATACTGTTTATAATATTTGCTCATGAATTGATATCAGAGTCGCCCGGTTATCCCCGCCTCTACGCCCCAACGCACATCTCACGCCAAACGGAGTCGAGTATATCCCCTGCGACTTTGTTTCTGGACGGGAAAATGCATGAGTTTGTTCTAGATGGGACTGCAGATGGTATACTAATACATTACGTGGTTATGATTGGATGAACTCTAACATTGATATAGCTCAGTTTGCTTATCATGCAAGCGCTAGTGCACAGAATCTCAAGCATGTCTTGGAACAGTTGAAAGACGTGTGAAGGCTACTTACTTCTTTTCATTGCGAGCACATCTAATGCCCAAGGACCTATCAGATATCTTTAATCATTGCTAATGATGATAGGCATGTTTCGCATAAACCAGATCATATCTTAATGACGCTTGATACTAATCTTGATATTGCTGAAGAAACTATTCTAGCTGGATTGCTAGAGAGTAGACATCGAATCCCATCCGAAATATTTCCAAATTTTATATTTCCATTGTCGCTTTAGGTAGGTTAAGTATGAGACCTAGGTTTCCTTGAGGTAGAGACTCTACTCCTTATTGTAGAAAACCCAGTACCTTGGTCCAAGCACCAGGCGCACAGCTGTATCTACGGTGGTATCAAAAACAGTTACTTCCTCACATGATACACATAATAGTACACCGTCTCATGGAGATGATCCCTAGCATAAGTAGGAACTCTATTGTGAACTAGCTACCATTTCTGACGATAAATAACGAACTAATCGTACATGATATAAACAACACAATATCCTATGTTTAGTATATAGCTCCAACACCTTATCTCTTTCTCTCCTACTATCCACTCCAGCACAAAGTTATGCACTATCCACCGAAATCCATCAAAAGAAACTAGTAGTAAGATAACAGACTACCTATAAGATTATAGTTAGTTCATCGGTCACAAGACCATAACACGAACTGCCAATTCCACATTATTAATCAAGATCGAGCTTATTCGATCCACAGCAGCTAATCATGAAACCAATCCATGTCAATAGCAAGCCATAGTATATAGTAGTGATCTCACTGCTAGTCGGTGGAATTATTACCCGTTTGGATACTTAGTACTTACATCATAATATACTATTCTCAGATCTGACACTAAGATATCATAATCACTAGTCATCTGAACCAGAATAGTATTCAAATACGACAAAAAAATATTCCCAGAAACCCTTCAGGATCAATCTATCAATTACTTTACAGCCTATCTCACTCCAAATTCAAAATATTCCTGCTATCATATCATATCTACCCAGCACATCCCACCAAAACGACCGAATGATACTTAACTTCCCCACCAAACGGCCCGTCGCGGCCCAAACAAACACAAACAGGCACAAAAACAAACTTTACAGCCGCCAACAAAGCTCCATCCAGACTGGCTGTAGATAAGACCGTCACACTCCTCCCCTCATTCATCTATTATAGTTTTTTTTTTTTTTTTTTTTACTGTGGCTGTGGCGGTCAGACTATTGGTGGGACAGGGGTAGATCCCGTGGGGTGGAGAGGTTGTTTCTCCGGTGATCCATCGTGAGTCAGAGATAAGCACAATCCCATAGCCGTATGGGCTACATATCCATCTACCTACCTATCAACTTGATCTTCATGCATCATTCTTCTTTCAGTTGAGTTCATCCTATGCATCGATTGTAAAGCGTGGGGTGTACAGAGTAATGACTGACTGATCGGTGCACATGCAGCCCAGCCATCATCTGAGAGATCACAAACCAAGCAGAGGAATCGAGGATAGTAGGCACAACGTTGCACCGATTACTGCGTGTATACCCGAGCTGATAAATCCTTGGGGTTTGATTAGCCCCTGCATTTCGGTCGATCCTGTCCTGTCCTGTCTTTGTTGCCTTGCTGGTTTTGTTGCTTATCTATCCAGAGTGGTGCAGTGGTGTGGTGTGTTCTGCGGGAGTTGATAGATCAAGCCTACATGTACTGTAGTAGTCTTTTGTAAAGTAAGGGGTATATATTACCGTCTTGGTATGGATTATCTATCCTTGGTAAAGTACTGATAAAGTACCTGGGTGGTATTGGGCTGTGCACAGTGCAGGCTAAGATTCTTAGACAGCGTACTTTTGGCTAGTCCTCTGAAGGGCGACTATCTAAGCTTTTTAGTAGCTTCTCACGATGTAATTGTAGCTGCTGGATCCACTGGTGGAGGTCTGAATATGGTCGCTATTTGATTGATTAAAAAGGCAAGGTCTCATGGTTTGGGATCCAAGGAGTAGATTCTTATCTCAGTCTGAGTATTCTGGTGGAACTCACGTGTCTTATTTATTGCACTGACGCCGTTCGTATACTATCTTA